CCCTGATTCCAGACAATTCAGTTTCTACCCGTATGTCCTTGGTTCCCTTCAAGCTGCTGCCCCAGCACTGGAGCTCAGACGGAGTGAGTACAAGTAAGTCTGTGCGCAGGGCCCTTTAAGAGGAACTGCCTGGGACTCCAGCAGCTTCTATCTCAGCCACAATCACCACTGGTTTTTATAGTCAGAAGTTATGAGGACGTCTCTTCATGGCTCTGGAACCCTGGGCTTGGAGGCCTGGTGTGGGGCTGAGACCCCTCACTCCTCAGGGGGGACCTCCATAGCTGAGATACCCCTCCTGATTTTTATCTGCCACATGTGGGTGTGGGGACCAGTCCTTTCTGCATCTCCACTCCTCCTACCAGTCTCGATGTGGCTTCTCCTTTAAATCCCTAGTTGTAAGACTTCTATTCAGCTAGATTTCAGGAGGTTCTGAGTGATGATTGCTCTGTAGTTTAGCTGTAATTTTCATGCGGTTGTGGGAGGATTTGAGTACTTCCTTTACCTACGCCACCATCTTAACCAGAAGTCTTCTAGCCAAAACTTTGAGGAACTGCAAAGGCAAAGCAATTTGGAGCTCTGCATCGGGGCCTTTACCCTGGAAGCATTCGCTGTTTTTCAAAAGCTGCAGCTGACCTTCAAACAGCCTGATTGGCTTGGGGATAAAGAAGATAACATCTGCCTTTATCTCTCACTGAAGAGGAGGGTTGAACAGAAGTGGAGCAGCCCGCACAGTGACTGAGTCATCTCCGGCCCTGCCTCGGGGAAAGGCACCTGGGCTGCAGCACCCTGGCTTCACTGACCAGTGGAAGCCAGAGTGAATTGTCTCAGGATAAAGACAGCTTCATCCAGAGCCTCGTGTGATCCCAACAGTGTTTGCTATACAGGGCCCAGCAGTCAGCAAAACATAGTCAGGCAACCTGTGCACAGGAGAAAATCGGACAAGAGGAGACCCAGAGGGGGTTCCAATGAAGGAGTTATCAGGGGCAGCCTTTACAGGAACCATGAATAAAAAATGTTGAAGGATTTAAAAGATAAGAGTGAAACTTTTTTCAGAGAACTAGAAACTATGCAAGAAAGGAACCAAATGTGAACTCTAGAACTGAAAGAGACAGCATTTATGTGAATGTTGCTGTGCTGAACTCTGTACAAGCATCGACAGGCTGGGCCTCACCCTGAATTCCCTGTAGACCTACCTAATGTCACTCCTAGGACATGGAGAGCTGATTTTCCTATATCCCTGTAAGGGCCACTTCATCATTTCTGCTGTTACAGTGTCTGGTCGGGCAGGGCTCAGCATGTGGAAGGCACTAGACACAACGTGTTGCCTAGAGTGCAGAAGGAAAGGCGAGGGGCCGGCTGGGAGGGCCACGTCCACTATGTGATGTTGTCATCAAATTTAATTCAGGAAGCAGAGTGAGGGGCTGAACATCAGAACTGAGAATAAGTTTAGTCAGAGATTTCCTGTAGGCAGAGATTATAGGGACATCAACCATTTTAAGACGGAACCAAGAATGGAACTGTGGCCAGAAGCGTGAGGAGAGCGAGGGAGCTTCTCCTTCCACTGCTTCCTCCCCACGCCAGTGAGAGAGGGAGAGTGGGAGTGCGGGACAGGGTAGATGAGGTCAGGGGCGTTGTGACTGACCTCCCCTACTCTACCTGGGATGAAAAGCACACTCAACACCATCCATTGTTTGAGTATTTCCTATGGGCAAGGTCAGGGCTAAGTACACCACATGCAGTATCTCAGTCTTCATAGTGACCATGACAAGGTTCTATTATTAACCCCAGCTAATGGATCATGAAACTTCGACCAAGAGAGCTTGGGCACATGTCCTGCGTGGCCTAGCTCATAAATGACATGGGAGGAGACAGCCCAGGTTGTCTGACTTCAAGCCCAGCCCCAGGAGGTCCCACCCCAGATCCAGAAATGCATGGTGGGCAAAGGGCACACACCTGGGTAAGGTGGAAACCCATGGCTTCGGCTCTCCAGGTGATATCTGTCTCTGAATTTGGGTTGGGGACTGAGGAACATACCCAGAAGCACAACTGTAAGCAGGACCTTGACTGTGGATTCACACATATCACCTCCTTCAAGCAGCCCTTCCAAAAACTAACAAAGACAAATCGCCACCCATCCCTCAAAGGCCGATACCATTCCTCAAATGTGCTACAGAAGGCAGACAACTCCCAGCAACTCACAGGGTTGTGACAATAGTGCAGGGACACGTACAAGTCATTTGACTCTCCAAGCAAACATCCAGGGAGCTGATACAGCTTTTGCAGAAATATTCCATTTGCTCTCATGAGAAGCTCTTTAAAGATTTAGGAAATTCTTTTGTAACCTTCCTCTTTATTTTTCTATTGAGGCGTAATTGACATTAATTTCAGGTGTAGAACATAATGACCTGTCACCACACGTGGTTATATAATATTTTTCTTGTGATGAGAACTTGTAAGATCTACTCTGTTAGCAATTTCCAAATATAGTGCGAGTTTCTTCCTTGGAGGGTTTACCTTCATTTGGACACAGACTCTGATTTGTTGGTTGAAAATAAAGTCAGACACATATCAATGGCTTCAGGAGGATAGCCCCTGGCTGGGAGTCCTATCTGTGCCACTAACGAGCTGTGTGACTTGGGCAGGTCCCTTTCCTTCCTGGGTCTTGCTGGGTCTTCTTCCAGTGACGGGGGAGCTGGGAGGGTTGCCAAGCTCCCCTCCCGTCCTGAAACACTCGGATCTCCTTCTGCACTGACATGTGTGCTCCCATCACGTAGGCCATGTGGAACCCTTCTCACCTTTTTTCCATCCATAACTACAAGTGTGCTTAGCTTCTTTCCAAGTCTCTAGAATGTGGTAAGGAAGGCAGTTAATGTTTCTTACTGCCCACCCTGGGCCAGAACTCTCCCCTTCCAGCCTCCCTCCTCTCCTTTCCTTCCTTTCCCCTCCCTTTCCTCCCTCATTCTGAACATGAGGAGGCAGAGGCCCAAATCAGTGAAGTGACTTGTCCAAGGCCACACAGGTGGCTACAGGCGAGTGGCAGAGGGGGAATTTGGATCTGTTTCTGTCCCAGGGCTGAGTTCACCCCAGAGTCCCAAGACCATAACTTCAGAGATGTGGACAACAGGAGCAGATCTGATGTCAACGCCTCCCCCATCCCAGGAAGCTGGCTCTGGAGCGGGAGTCAGAAAACTGCAGGCAGAGCCGCCACCACTGTTTCTGTAAATAAAGTCAGATGGGACTCAACCAGTTTGTTCAGTTACAGACTTTTTAACTGCTTTTAAACTACGACACTGAGTTGAGTAATCTCGAGACTGCGTGGCACCCATCCCTAAATGTTTACTGTTTGGTCCTTTTAACAGAATGTTCATAGCCCCTGGTCCAGAGTTCAGCAAAGGACACTGTGTGACATGAGACTGTCCCTGTGCTCAGGCCCTGGCACTCAGCATTAGGAAAGGAGACATTTTTACTCCAACTCATGGGTTTTTTTAAATTGAATTTATTGGGATGACATTGGTTCCCAAAACCATATAGGTTTCAAGTGTACAACTCAATAAAGCATCATCTGCCGGCTGCACCATGTGCCCATCACCCCAAGCGAAGTCTCTTTTCCTCCCCGTTTCCCCCCCTT